GCCTAAAAAGAAGAAATTTAATCAACCAGCGCCAGCCATGTAAGCAGTCATTTTTGTTTATTTTACTGATTTGTGTGAAATGTCGTTCCTCTAGTGATTTCAGTCTATTTTATCATTAAACTTGGCTTTATTTGATATTCTGCTCTTTTATGTACAGTAACTATGAACAGCCCACTAAAGATGGCCTCAACAGTGACAATATTGGGAACAAGATGTTGCAGGCAATGGGCTGGAAGGAGGGGAAAGGTCTTGGCCGCAACCAGCAGGGCATCACAGCACCAATTGAGGTATTTGTAACAGTTGTGGTGTAATAGTTCATCAGACTCAGTAACTATATACAGCTCTAGAAAGTACTCAACTCTGTGGACTTCCTCCTCAGGCTCAGTTAAGAACAAAGGGAGCTGGACTCGGCACTAAAGGAACCAACTACACCCTCTCTCCTTCAGACACCTACAAAGATGCAGTCCGCAAAGCCATGTTTGCTCGCTTCACTGAGCTGGAATGAGTCATTAGTCTGAAGCAAAAGTGACTTCTTGAAATGGCCTGCCAACAATCTGCTTCTTTTTGGTGTGGAGCTCCACTGTGTCTGCGTCACGAGAAGCTAAAGAGACGTTCCTAACGGTATCAATCCAGTCTGTGATCCATAAAAACTATACCTCTTACTCTAAACCAGTCAATGAAGAAAAAATCTGTTGTAGGAATAATGACATAGTTAATATAATTTATAAATTGTACATATGCACAGTGAATTTACATTGCTGGTTTTCAGATTTCTTTTATAGTCATTCAATGTTATGACAACTTTTTCTTTAGTCTGAGCATGTTTAAATGATTGTACAGTTTATACAAAATCTGGATTATTTGTACAGAAATAAACTTGTGGCGTTATTTTTCTCTGGTCTTCATTATGTTTGATAACATACGGCAGCTTTTCTTAATGTAAATTCTGAGTGTTTTCAGCAGTTAAATTCAGAAATATTGCAGTGAGATCTATATGTGCACCGCTAATTCCAGAATCTCACTGCTAATAAAATCAGCTGAATATGCAGTGGGAGCACTTGGCTGTAGAGAAGGCACATTTTCACGTGTAGAGAAAAACCTTAGATGACAAAAGCTGCTCTTTTGTCTGATTTTGGTGCTAAATTAAGCATTGCAATCTGAGCAGTGGCTTCCTGTGAAACTTAAAGCTGTTCTCTGTAGTTCGGAATTGTGGAAATCACAGTAACTGGCCTGTGACAGCAAAAATCTGAAATTACATTTTTCCTTCTTTTGTAGAGGGCTTTTTTTTTTGTTGGTTTTTTTGTTTGTTTTTTTTTAAACTTATTCCAAATCATTATTTTGTCAGGGGAAAAATATTGATGTGACAATTCAACCACATGAATTAAATGCAATCGTATTTGCGCACAAACCGATACTGATACAATGCCACCTTACTCTGGATATACCCATGGTTCCCTAAAAATGCCACAATGCTTTGTGTTATTTCAGTGTTTCATAATCCTTGATATACCTGGGAAGCTTCATTTTTTTTTTTTTTTCTCATTTGAAGAATTTTTCCCAGTTGTCAAAACTGAAATTCAGTGTTCCTTTTTGTTTGGACAATATGAAATAAAATTCTCCAAGTCAAATATAGTAAAATAAAAAATCTTTTTTCAGTCTGTGTTGACGCAGGTGCTGGCTGTTCTTTTGACACACTTATTGTCCCTTTTTAATTGTTTATTATATAGTAAATCCATTGTAGTCTTTCTGTATGTTACATGTAAATAAAACTTTGACAAAACACTTTATTGATTTTTATTATCAAATTGTTTTTTCTAAACAGTTGATTGTCAGTTGTAATTCCACCTGATCCACTGAACGTCCTGTGTCATTGTTCATTACTTTGTATTGGAGAGTTGACATATTATTAGATGGTTAAGAGACCACTTTAGCCTCTGAAAAACAATAATTTGTGATTGCCAGGTTTTTGATGGATGACCACTGCTGCACTGTGGTGATATTTTGTACGCAGGCAAAAGAAGTCCAAGGTCAAAACCTTGAAAGTTGCATTTTGTGGTTTATTTATCCAGTTTGGCAAGGAATAAACAAAGATAGAAAATTGCCCTGCAGTTCTTTCTGTCTGATTTACAAAGGCAAACAACAAAAACAAAACACAAAATTATGCAGTCATTAACCTGCAAATAAACCTTGTAAATAACCGAAAAATATAAAGTAAACCAAGAACAAATTTTAAAATAAAAAAAGAATAAATTACTCCAACGCATCTTAAAACAGAAAAAAAAACCTTGAAAGTGATATTAATTCTTCACATAAAGAGTTGGTCATGTGGATGCTAGCAGTTTGTATGAAACACGATATATCTCTCAGATTGTTTCATGACTCTCATCATCTTTCATCCTTTGATGTTTTCACTAGGAAGAAATGTCCTGAACCTCAAACTCACTTCTTTTAGACACATATATTGTAAGAAAGAGTACAAATTGATTACATATCTCACCTTTGTTCTGTGCTGTGTAAAGTGTTTCACCACTTCCTAAAGCCACGCCTAGAAAACCAGCTGGGAAATAGTAGAAGAAATCAAGTGCAGGACGTACGTCAGCAAGAATGTAGTGTTGTTTTCTTTAGCTCCTCTTATGTAATACCATTATGTTCCAGTCACAGAGCTTGTAGTCTCTTTTTTACATTTTTGATGACACTTTTAAAACAAACAACCAGCACATGATTTTTTTAATGAACTGAAAACTGAGCAGACTTGAAAAAATTGTAGAAATTGAGTGGAGATGTGTACTTTGCATGTTTTTGTATTGGCATTTAAAGACTTTTTAAGAGATGCCTATCTCTGTGGGACAATAATTATAGAAATACGTGAGAGACACAAAGTGCTGCTTTTCTCTTTGTCTTTTTAGTCAACTACTGCAAGTTGTTTAGCTAAAAATGTTCCAGCTGATCAGTCTGTTGAAATGTTTTGTACTTTTCATGTAAACATTACTTTAAGCAGATTATCTGAAGTAAGCATCAAATCAAGACATGCCACCTTTCCTCTCCTAAGCACAACCACAATGAATGAGTGATCTGTTAGCCAGCTTGTGCTAAAAAAAAAAAAGGTATTGTCTAATGAAGTTGTATGTGAAAAAGCTTGGCAGTGATTCTCTTGGCAAAGAGAATCATTGCTAAATCTGCAGCATTACTTCCGTGCCTTGAACTACTGCTTTGCTCCATATTTAGCACGTCTAGTGTGATGGATGAAGGCAACTGTTTTCAGGAAAAGGCTCTAAAAGCTCACTAAGCACCAAACTGCAATGTTAGCACCTATCTGCTGAACAAATGTGAAGCGTTTTGAACCAGAATAGCTATGAGCACATAGCAAATAAGAAGAAAAAGCCAAGCTAAAATCTCTCTGATTCAACTCTACATATGGTTAAGCAGTAAGACAAATATGACAAATAGATCATGTGATCCCACTTGTTAAAAGATGAAAACTTGGCATCACTCAAAAATATGCATCTTACACCATTGGTGATCTCAGACTGGGTTATTGTTTCAGTCACTCCAATACATGCTCAGTCCTCTTGAAAAGTCAGGGGAAATGTGTGTATAAATATCACCATCTGTTATTGTTGTGTTCTGAGGCTCCTCTGAGCTGTTCTGCATTTAACATTTACTTACTGTTTGGGCCAAATTTGACCTCTTTTGAGATGTGATTATAGTAAAAAAAAAAAAAAAGTACCCTGTATAATATCCATATAGATGGTAGTTATGGTGATGTTTTTATGAAAACAGCAGTGAGGAGTAATGATAGTAATGGTTATATGGTTGTCTAGTAAATCCCAGCATTTTTAGAACGTTATCGCCATTTCACTTTCTAAAATATATTTGAACCCTTACAGCTGTTGTGTTTTCATGTCTTGAACAAAGCAGAAATAAGGTTTCCCTGCTCTCTGAAACACCCATTAAGAATTAATCATCTATTTGTTGGCTTTTTATACATTCTAAACAGATCTGTAGTTCAGATTTTGATATTATAAAGAACTTATTGGCTTTGGTCAAAACTCACCAGGACCCTACAGTGAAGGCAAAGACATGTGTAAGGGTTAAGAATGTGTTTATGGAGATGTGAATGAGCATTAATCTGTTAATTGGCGTCTCTAAATCTTCCTTCAATCAGCATGACCTCTAGAGGACGCTAAAGTGACATTTAATTTAAGTTGTCTTTTGCTTAAAATAATTTAATGTCGTGGCAACAGTGTAAAACTACATGATTCATTTCTGCAGTATAACCATACCTTTATGATATACTTGTAAGCTATGTAATAGCCAGTTATTTGATCCAATCTGGGTTGCAACTCTTGCTTCACACTAGGCTTGTTTATTTTATGTTTTAATATTTTATCTACAACTACACTATTTTTGTCTTTCATTGGTTTCCTCTTATGGTCTATTCTACTGAATTCTGATAATTGTCTGTATTTGTGCAGCTGCTGGCTGGTGATATTTCAGGATAAGATATCTTAAACTTTAATAACTCATACCTGCACCAAAGCCACATCTCAAATCAATTTATTGATTTAGATTAAGAAAAATAAATACATAAAAGAAAGTGTGATCCATTGTTAAATACTTGTCTGAGTGCCAGAAGCAAACAAGTGACCTCCTCACCTTTGCAATTTTTTTGTGAGCGAGCAGAGGAAACCACTGGATCCAACACAAGACACACAATTTAAGAAAAATAATGTACTAATACAGCTTTTCAGTGCAGGAACCACGGTATGCGGAATATAGGGAGACAAAGATGAACGCGCGTATTTGGCACTGTCGGGTTTTTAAAAGCTTTCAGACAATTACGACACGTATGTGAAACTTAGCAGGACGTCTCCTCTATCAGACAGATCTAAAGAGCCGTGCAGTTAAGTTCTTCATTCCGAAGACTTGAGTAATCACTGCCTGCTGAAAGTCAGATTTTTTTTTCTCATATTCGCTCACAGGCTCACTCACAGAACCAAGTGGCTGAAAACTACATCGAGCAACGCGGCTAAATACCCGGCGGGGGCGGCGGGGGTTGCAAAGGAGGCGGACCTACCACGACCCCCACAGTTGAAGCTTCAAATGGTTTTACACTGCAGACCATCTCTCAAAGAACAGTTTGTGGCCACTGGTTTGGAAAGAGACAGTACAAATGTGCGTAAAAATCCACGAATACAGATAGACAGATAGATGGGCAACTCTCTCCTTCCCTGAGGAAAAGAAAGACACGCGAAACGCACGAAAGGAGAGCGAGGTCGTCAGATTGTTCCCACTTACCAGCGGAATTATCGTGGAAGCTTCGTGATACGAGCTTTTGGTAAGACATCACAATCCTGTCTTTTTTATTTGTTTTATTTATTTATATTTATTTTTTAGGCGAATGGCTTTGCTACTTGTTGTGACTGACATATTCCCAGGTTTTTCTGCCTTCACTGAGAGGTGGACACTTGTAAAATAATACTTTAAACCTTTATTGCAATCTTTTGATTTTCATTCAACCACGCAGGAATATAGTAACCTAAGGGGAAAGCAATGAAGAAGACATAAAGGAAATTGTAGCTTCACTCTTTGGATATATAGGCTATAGCTTTGTTTCCTAAAAGGGGGTGATCAATGAAGAAAGAATAGCTCGGTCCCTCTGGAGTGAGCGCCAAGAGCAGATGTCACGACTATGCGTTTCATCCAGGGCAACAAACTGGTGCTCATCCATTGTTGTTGTGAATCTTTCTTAAATATAAACCGATGCGCCTGAAAGTTACTGTAGCGCAGTTGCAACAGGTAAATCCAAGCTGGACGAATGCAGTATGTGACACAGAAACGGGTTTGATCGCTTATATGATTCCTATTTTCAGCTAATTTTTTTCACAGGAAGGTGTAAAACTTTGACATGTTGTGACCCCAGTGTCCCAGTATTCTTACAGGTTGTAGAACAGGCTACTTCCCTGCGGTTTAGGCTGTAGCACATGCAGGCACATGGTATGGAGTAGCTAAGCCCTTTCCTTTTCCTCCTCTTAGCGAAACCATATCCGACGGAAACTAAAATTTTTTCCGACTTAGTTCACCACAAGGTGACAAACATCTAACAACGGCAAGAGTGGATCAGTAGCTATAAACACCAGAAGGAACTAAGAGCAGCCCTTTAAAGCACTTTAAAGTCTGCCTTTGTTACTGTGGGCTGAAGATTAAGCGCGATTACATTATTACATTTCATTTCTATGTTGTGTCACTGAGGTTTTTGTGAACTAAATATTCGCTGCTTTTCTGTTTTCTTAAGCTGAATGTGTCTTGATTTGTATCAGGCTACTTCTGCTGTATTTTTACTTGATTTATTTATTTGTGGTGATTTTAATTTAGATAATGCTGTGAAATGGATTTTTATCCCATTCTAAGTATAAACTAGGCCTATGTGTTGACCAATAAAGAGGCTACAGTTCAGTTAAATAAATAAATAAATTGTAATGGGTAATAAATACATTTAAAATGAGCCATTTTCAGCTGAAGATGCCTAAAATAAACTGGTTTCAGCTACTTGACTGTGAGCATTTGTTTTGTGAGAAACTGAAAACCAAATGATAGTACAACAAGATGATGGGTGGAAGATTAGTGAGAGTGACACTTTTTGTTTTTTTTAATTTTTGCATACAGTGTGCATTCTAGCTCTGAGTATATAATTAAGAATTTACAGCGGCTGTTTATGTTGAAAAGTTGCTTAACTGTAAAGTGTTCTGCAGCAATAATAACAATACTTACAGTAAAACTGTTTGGGCCAGGTGGTTTCATGAAGCTGCAGTTTTGTTTTGCTTTGTTTTGAAATCAGCATAACAGCTTGTGTTAATGTAGGATAAAACTTAACAAGTGGGCTGCAGGCGGCTGGCTTAGATTTTCCTTTTGCTGGAAATGTGTGGAAATGTGGTAGGTGGGGAAATGGTGAATGTTTTTCTGCAATGGCTGTCAAGATCTTTCGACCCCAAGCTGCTTAAATGCATGTGTTGACTAGATGTGTTCGACTGTGACATATTGGGGGAAAAAAAAATTGGTTTCCAGGTACTGTGAGAGAGGGTGTATGTGTTTGACTTTGGTCCCTATCGAAACCCCAGTGTGGGGTTTTGTCCTGGGGTCATTATAGTGCAGAATGAGCAGATAAGCCTTGTGTAATGAACAAAGTGACTAGGAGTTTGAGCAGGAACCTGACAGGTGCACAGTGCGTGGAAGTCAGTGTTTTATCCATGTGGGATGCAGCCAGCTGTACTCATGTGTCACATTAAAGAGACCTGTGAAATGTTGTATTTAAGTCAGTCTAACTGTCATGTGTCAGGTTATTATTATCTTTGTCATGGGTCTCATAATCTTTGTGGGTTGAACCAGACTTCATCATGCGCCAGTGTCTATTTATATTGAAGTCATTAGAAAGTCATAGTCGTTTGTTGATATTGTTTATATTGTGTGGCAAAAATGCATTTTGTTCAGCATTTTATGAGACAGTTAAGATTGAAAAGAGAGCTCTACTTCTGTTCAGAGTGGATTTTTTAAGCTTTTATCCCCCAAGTTTGTTCCCTGTGGATGAATATGCACTGACATGTTAATATATGATGACTGAAATATTCCACAATGAGCCATAGATTTTGTATTTATATTTGTACTTGTCCTAAAGAATTGCCTTGGCTATTTAGTCTAATGTTTTGTAACCCCAAGAAATCCCCTGAACGACAATTAATAATAATAAAATGTTAGATAGCAGCTGTTCAAATTTCAGCTCATTATTTCGATTTCTAACTCATAGCATTCATGCATCATTTTTGGCTGCAGCAGACATGTTTTCCAAGGAGTGCTGAGTGAAATCTACTCAACACCATACATCAGACAGAGTTAGACTGCCTGGAGAACATGAAAGAGTAAGATATTTCCCTCAGTAGAGACAATAACTGGACTTCAAATGAACAATAATGATAAATTCTGGATCTGATGGACAAAATTGCTCTGTGTGTACTGAGCCATATGGGAAAGATTATAGAAAACACTAAGGTTTCCCATTCCCTCGGTAAATGTTTAGGTTTTATCCCAAAAGCCTGACATTACAATTTACTCATTAAAGTGGTCACTTTGATAGGTTTTCCTCATACAACATTATTACTGCATTCATCCTTCTTTCTCAAAACAGTGTTTCATGGAAAAATGTGAAAAGGGACACTTAATAGTTCAAATCATAATATGAAACATAAAAGCCCTCAGAGACAATGTAATAAAAACATACAACATAAAACATTTATTATTATTTTCCCCCATGTAGTAACAAGGAATCAAAATATCCATAGGCCTTTAAGCCAGGGTACCTGCTATAATGCTTCCACTGCAATGCAACATTCTTGTGATGCAGTGTAAAAGCTGCCTGAAACACATGCACAGAGTATAATTGCTCAGTACTTCCCGCTGCAAACTTCTGGTTACCAAACTGTGCTTCAGAAAAATGTCCTGCAGTTTATCAAGTAATCATAATTAATGAGAGTTAACTATTTGCTTAAATAACTTACCAAACTGTTTTGGCTAAAAATTAAATCAAACAGCCCCTTTAAAAAAAGCTGGTTGTAGTTACTTCTTACTTCCTTTTGATAACTGTAGGACATATGCTTTTAATATTAAAAGAAATATAGTTGGTTTATTATTATTGCACTGCACTGATTTTTCACTTTACTCATGTATGGCACAGATATATATGGTTAATTCTTGTTATTCAGAAGATCTTCTTTGTAACACTGTAGATTACAAAAAAAATAGTGTTTGTTAATAAACACTTAATTACAGCTGATAAATATATGTAATCTCTTATTCTCACGGTACAAAGTCATGCTATCATCTTGGCCTGTCTTGTTAGATAGTTGAAGTTGAGAGGTCATTTATAGAAAGCATTACAGTGGCTTTATTAACACTAAAGCCTCCTTAACTGCTTTAGTGCTAATAAAGCATAATAATTGCATAATTTGCACAATGTAAAATACATCTATGTATTTGCTGGGTTTCAACATGATACAAAATTTTGTTTGTTTTTTTAAACTATTTTTTTTTACTACAAATGGGCAAAATCAGTTCAAAACCATGGTAGCAACAAATGTAAAACTCTTCTAAAAGGATCAAGACATTACTGATAACTCAAGCTGTCTTTGAACCATCCTGGTTAAACTAATTTGACGTATCTTTTACTGTCTTCTTTCCATGGTGACTTCGTTCTGTGCTATCAAGCCTGAAACCCGGTGCTGTTCTCTATAACTGCATATGTGCGCTTGTCTGTTGTATTTTATTTCTTTGTGTTTTTGTCATCAACCTATGTACGTTTGAGTGTTTTTATCTTCTGTATTAAACACAGTGACTATATAATGATTGTATAATAAAATGTGAATCATAAATAAAATGTCCTACTGTTTTTTAAATTTTGCTTTATTATTGTCTATAACATTTTACATCTAGCATTAATTATAAAGATTGTAGACAGGAGGATCTGGGAAAAACTTGCATAAATAATCATAAATAATAGCTTTTATATCTACTCAGACCTGTACAGGTGCTTGTACTGACTTCCTTTGGAACAATTCGGGATGTATCAATTAGGCTTAAAATAAAATTTGACATTTTATGGTTCCCTAGATCCTAAAGTGTCAGCCTCTGGGATGTGTAACTCACAACTTCACCTTTTTTTTTTCTTTTTTTTTTTTCTCTTCACAACTTCACCTACCATCAGGGTGCACCTGAACACCCGTACTGATGAAATATGGGGAGGTTTGTTGGGCTGTTTGCTATTGCTCTACAAATCATCCTTTATCGGACAACTGAGCCTAATGTTTTCAACTAAATCTTTGTACAAACACAGACTGTATTGTCTGCTTGCACAACTGCACATTGAATTTCGTCCTTGTGTGCTTTCTAGTGGTGGTGCTTCATTTTATGACCCTTTAAATGATTTAGGCAGCTTTTATGTGATGACTAAGAAAAATAAGCCAAGATTATTTTATTGAAATTATAGAGGGTTCAACCTTAGAGATGGAAGACAGTTGTACCAAAGCATCAAGTTGCTTAAATAAATGTCTATCATGTTTATTTTTTACTTTATTTATGCAGTTCAGCAAAAAGGCAATTTCAGAACTACTTGGGGGTAGTTAAAGCTAAAAACAGAAATGTTTTATAGTTAACAGCACTCCCTTTTTTTTCCCTGCAACTATTTTCTTTTTATGTAGTCTTTAATGTCCCTGTCTGTTTGATTTAACATACATTTGACGTTATACATTTGTATAATATATAATTTATACAATTCATTTCTAAATTAAACACCTCAGTTTTCCTTCAAAATGAATGGTTAGAATACTTTTAGTATACTTTCTAGTCATGCCTGTTTAAAGTAAAATAAATCATCTGTTCTTTTGAACTGTTTAAAACGTTCGTGTTAATATGAAGTTTTAGTTGTTGAGAAACCTATCATGATAAATGGAAAGAATATGTAATTCAAGTTCTGGCTGTAATGCAAGACATGAGCATGTGGTCCCCTGTCCCCTGGAAGCACGTGGATTAGGATGAGCTGGTGCTGCCAGGCGCTCTTGGCTGAACCTCGTGCCACATGCGCCTTTCTCATCTACATGTGCTTGCCTGCTCCCCACTGTCCCGTGTTTGTCGCGTGCACGCCCTGCTTTATGTCTTAGTGTCACAGGAATAGATGCTCTGGTTTTAATGATAAGAAAAAATATATAAATAGCTCCTCTTACTTGAACTTTTAACCTTGAATTGTCAAAAAAGAGAGAAAGAAATCAGCTAATCTTTAACCCTCCCACTTGTTCAAACATTTCAAATGTCAGATAAATATAGTAGCTCAAAATGAGACTTTTCAGTTTTTGTCACTTCGTTGCTGAAAACAAAACTCATTTGGAATCTATATAAAGTCTAAGAGTTATTGAAATTATGTTAAAGCAAGTTTTAAATTGATACCTTTTTAGAACCAGCCCGCATTTCAACAGGTTTTAGAGCTAAATTTCCACATAGGTGGGGTAATTTCTTTGGAAAGAAAATGACCAAATTCACAGGTCGAATGGTTTTAGGAGTGAACATCACAAATTTTCACGGGACACAAATATATGCTTAAAAAAACTCAGGCTTCTGGATCAGTGACAAGCTCTGCTTTTTAAAATTATGTTATATGTGTTAGTATAAAGAAATAATTTGGCTTTAGTTTACTTTTGTGTTTTATGGGAACATTTAAGTGGAAATCACTGGCAAATATTTTCTGTATTTGTCAAAGTTCTATACTGAGATGTGTCCCAGCTGTAGCAGCTGTGACATTTTCCTAATATCTCCTACAATTTTCAGAAACTTTTTCATGTGTCTATTAACTTTTTGTACTCTGAAAAAAGATTCTGAATGTAGAAAAATATGTGGAGCTGGTTTGACTTGTGATATTTCTTTGAAAACAACTTTTTTAAAATTTAAATTTGATATGTATTTGCTAAGATATGCTGCAAAGTGCCTCATATCTATCATATCTCCTTTTCACAATAATAAAGAATTCTCTGGTTTAGCAAAGCCACACTTCTGATCAAATTTGTATACAAATCTGTTTTTAACATTTGAGCCAAATTTTATAAACTTTGTGGTAATTTGAGTCCTTTTACTTCTGTAACTAGTAATTATGTGGTACTATGTTGTCTTTTCAGTCCATAGTTTGGTAAATCCATTAGGATGTACGGTGCCATCTATAAAAGTCATGCTCCTGTCCTCCCACCTCTGTACTTCAGTGTTGAGACAATATGGTAGTCCTGGCGAGCTTTGTGCCAAACATCCTGATGCCAAATATATTTATGTTGGTCAAGATCATGAGGAGCTCATTGAACAATGATTATCCAGTCATCAAATATATGTTGATGTTCTATAGCTAAATTGAATCTTGCAGTTTTGTGCTGAATAGCAAACAAGCGTCAGACGCCATCCGCTGAGACTGACATTGTGCAATGTCCTTAACATTGTCCACACTGTCACAGAAACACTGACTTCCATTGATAATCCCTGTGCCAAGTCTGAAGCGCTTTCCCTTCTCATATTCACCTCTGCTGTCTGTGGTGTGATCTTAGTAGGACTACCATTGCGGCTCTGATTAGTGTTATGAATCAATTTATATTCCCAATTTCCGAAGACTTTTTATTTCCCAATTTGTCCTGCAACTGTGTTTTCACATAGTTTTAGTTGGCCACCTCTGCTCTTGTAGCCTTTTTAAAGTTTCATCAGACTTTTTATTTCCCCTGGCAGCTCTTTCCATACTTTTGAATAAAGAAATAAATGAGGAAGTTTAAATGTTCATGGGTTATTTTATAAGAGTGTTCTCAGTTGCACTCAGTTTTGTTTCAGTGATCATGCACACACGTGCACACGTGCACACTCACTTTGTTGCATGTGTTTCTACAGTAAGACCTTTATTTTCATTCCCTCTAAATGAGGTTTTTTAGTGGTCATAAGAGGAAATTGTGTACTTGTAACTTTAGAAATAATGCAGTAATTTAGAGAGAATACAGCCTTGAATAATTTGACATTTAATTGAATAACCTTAACCATAATACTTTTTTATGGTTGTGGTTAGATTATGCTTTTCTTGCATTAACAGTTTTATCATTTTTTGATGAGCCAAACTGAGATTTTTCTTATTTTTCATGGTACTCTATGCAGTACGGAAGAGGATTAGGGCCACTGGAAAAACAATCTGAGAAAAAAGTCAGAATTCTGAGAAAAAAGTCAGAATTCTGACTTTTTTTTTCAGAATTCAGGAAAAGAAGAAAAAAAAAGACGTGCCCACTTTTTCCCCCCAGTGGCCCTAATCCTCTTCCGTAATGCAGCCCTGTGAAACACAGAGTAGTCTATGTTTCAGTAGATCCACCTTTAGCACCGATAACTCAAAGTAATCTTTTTCCGTTTGACTTTATCAGTCTCTTCCATTATTGAGGAGGAATTTTGGCCCACTCTTCCTCTTAATAACACTGCTTCAGTTCATTTACATTTGCAACCATTCATTTATGGGCAGAGTTGTTCAGGTCTCACAGCAGCATTTCAATCAGGTTGAGGTCTGGACTTTGACTGTGTCATTGCAACATCTTGATTCTTTTCTTTTTTTAGCCATTCTGCTGTAGATTTGCTGCTGTGCTTGGGATCATTATCCAGTTGTATGACCAAGTTGGGGCCAAGATTTTGCTGTAGGACAGATGGCCTCACATTTAGAGTACTGGCATACGGACAGCAAGGTGCCCACGACCTGTGGCAAACAGCAAGCCCAAATGATCTTGACAACTGTGTTTGGCAGCTGATATGTTGCATTGTTGCATTTTGTTCTCACCATGCATGGTGCTGTGCATTATGGTCAAGACATATATGTTGAGTTTTAGATATATATACTGTTCTGTCTACAACAGAACAGTCACTGCTGTATTTAGGTATAAACATGATATCAAGTCACGAGACAAAACAATAGGCTCTTGTTGTGTTTACTGTAAATTCAGTGATCCCATGCTTTGTGGTTGTTCATGAACAAACATAATGACTGTAGTTTCACTCACCGTGAGAGGCTCAACATTTTGAGCTCTACATGTTTACGTTTCTAAGTTTGATTTATTTTTGCTTGTTTGCGATTGCTTTTCGTGTGATGGCCAACACTAATCATAAATTGTATCACAAAGTGTATTTCAATTTGAAAATAGCATTCACACAACATTTTCTCCTCTGAATTTACCTCACTGGAAATAATTGCTGTCAAAGGCCAGTGTTGCAACAGGAAGTGTTTACATCAGGGGTTTTTAGGCTAGGGGATTGAGGCTACGTTAAGGGACGTGGTATCATTGAGCAAATACTGACTCACCAGATAACATGGTGCAAGGTATCAGTAATGTTAGGTATTTTTTCTTTTTAATTTAAAATCCAGATTTAGATCTTCTTCTTTTTTTAATTGATGAAAGGTATTCATAAATTTGAAGAGCTCAGTACCCGATTGTATTGTGAAGCAGCACGCAGTGTCCTCTCAAGTTTCTTTCCTAGCTTCAGTGGCATTGTATCAATGACACTCTTTAATTGTACACTATGAATAGCCACAGCAGTGATCTTCTGGCAGAGAGGACACTGTGAACACAATTGAGCTGATCTACCCTGGTCACAGCGGAAACTACTAACAACACACCATTGTCTGTCTAAGTTCTCACTGAAGTATAGAAGAGTATTTATTTCTGTTAAAAAGTCCGAGGCAAATTTTAAAGAGCCATTAATTACAGGCTTGCTAATGATAAATGACAAATACTCTGACATTCTCTTCTGACTGTAACTGTGAATACAGCATCCCCCACACTGATGCTACTGTTAAACTGTATAATTATAGTAGCCTCATAATAGCTGCTTTGGAAAGCGCTTTCTCTGTTATTTGAAGCATTTTGTTGTGAGTGATCTGGCATGTCATTTAATCATACTCATGTTTATATTCATCATCAAGGCCACAGTGTCATTGTGTGGGGATGTCAGCAGTAGCACTAAAAATCGAGGGATCTGGAATATAAAAGACAAGAGCAAATACGGTTATAAAAAAAAAGTACTCTGACTGTGGACTTTGCCTTAGTGATCCTGACTTGTTTGCTTTGCTCCATTCTGAAGTTCTGGAAAGCAGAACATGCATCGTCATATTTCATCCTCACATTTCATTATTTGCAGTTCAGTGTATGGACTGCAGAAACTTCTGAAAAAGAACAAATGAGGTCAGATCCTGTTGTCAGGCGTGTTGAACGTCACTCTGTTGACTCTGAGTCATTCCTGTGCTGTACAGATGTATTCTGGATAGAAAAACTTGATAACGCCATGAACACAACATTTTGTTCCAATTTCTAAAAAAGAAAATTAGGCAAAAACAAATGACTTGTTTGTGGCTTGTAAAGTTTAGCTTTCAGTGATGTGGCACAGACAAAGGCAGCCCCACAGCATATTTCTAGGCCCTCTCTGAAAAGAAGGATTGTATATAAGGGTTTCTTCATATCCACCCTTTTCAAGTTTAACAAACTTCCAGAGATGTATATAAGGATATTTTTCACATGGACTAATCAAAAGTCTATGAACTTTTAGAGAAAGCTTGTGTTTCCACAAGCATTAAAAAGTAGCTGATTGTCTACAACAGGCTGGCTGAAACCACATGTCTTGAGGGCCATTAAGCATGTTAAGTGTACATTGTCTTTATGAAATGGTTTATCCAAAACAAATAAGGCCTCTTGTCTGATATGTTATCTGACTCATTTTCTTTCCACCTCTGCCCTAGATATTCAAGTCACTCATAAGAACTGCTTTAATCGAACGCATACACCAAACAGAGCTTGAATTATGGAGCCTTCTCAATCAGAGATGAACATATTATCAAACGGGAAAAGTCATGACCTCGGCGATGATGTGGGTGTGCCATTGAAAACAATGCTAGATGAGGATCAGTGAGTATTCTTTCCTTATGAATGGCTGCCTTTGTTTAATACAGCTTGAAGCAAGTATTTTTTACGCTTTCCTTTTCGTCTTTCTCTAGTTATACTTGTGTGAAAGCCACAATCTCATAAATCCAATTAACCAATATTCTTTTAAATTCAAATGTCACTGCTAAAGCTAAAAGCAGATGTTTGATTTGTTTTTGCTTACTGTTGCCACTATGATAATTCTCCATTAACATTGAAAATGATGAACAAGATAACAGATGTGGTGAACCACATAAAGTATAACTTCATAAATAATATTCGCTTTTTTAAATGCATGTTTACCTTGTTTTTGTGCTCGCCTCAACTGGTGGATCCTTATACAGAAATGGCACTCAAACAGTCAGGTATGTTTGCAGAGATTTACGTCAAGGGTTTTCAGCTACATATTTGCTCATTATGTCACCTTCAAAGCACATGATTTGCTAGAGTCTGCAGACGATTTTTGCTCACTTTCTCAGTGGTGGATGGAAATGCCATCAATTAACACCTGCAAATCTGGCCTCTAGATATGAAGAGCCTGATGATGGACTGGAGAACGAGGAATTTTTGCCCAACGAAGGCGGAAAGAAACCCATACGTTTCACAGATGTAAGTGAGAAACCCAACAATTATAGCTATATAACATAGGTAACAACATTAGGTTTTATCTTAAATTGGCATTTAATGTATACTCTGTTTTTTATTTATTTATTTATATTGCATTTACAGTTTGAAGGAAAGACGTCTTTTGGCATGTCGGTCTTCAACTTGGGCAATGCTATTATGGGTAGTGGAATCCTGGGTTTAGCTTATGCCATGGCCAACACTGGGATACTCCTTTTTTGGTGAGTAAATGAGTTTTAAAACAAATATTGTCTTAAACATTCCTTTTGGAGGAGGATACTTGTTCACCTTTTATCATTAATTAGATTGATACAATCATTATTTCAAGCCTCGTACAATAGCTTTTACTGTATGGGGACAGTCTATTCTTGCACTGTCAAAAGAAAAGACTATATCTATCAGCATATAGAAAGTTCTGTAGCAGGTAGTTTCAGTGCCTCCCTTATGGATGGATCTACATATTTTACACTGGATGTCTTTTCTGGCACAATTCTCCCATTAATACTCTCAAATGGGAGCAGACTGGCTTGTGACCTCTTGAGGCTGGTTTTGTAACCCCTACTGGTCTCAACACAGGGATCTTTTGTATATTAAGGAAATGTGTTAACCAGTACACTATGGAGCTAGCATATGGAAAACTATTTTGAGACTAATTCTTAGAACTATGTTCTCATGGCAGTGCCAAGAAACCAGTGAAGACCTCAGGAAATATCTTCACCTAGGAAAGGAATTCTCACATGGATGTAGGGAATCACAGAGATCTTGGTATAAGGAGTCATCCTAAGCGATGCTGTCTGGCCCCACATTTATATTGAACAAACAAATGTATGACAGCTTCCCACCTGTCAGCAAAAAAAACAATTAGTCTTTTTCCAACAATTTTCTGACCTCAAGATTTGCTATTCTACTGATATGCAGTGATTAAAATGAAAGGAGGTAAACTAAGTTGTACTTCTCAAAGTAATCTGACTTTTCAGTGCATTTATAAATAGTACTGATTTATTATATGTCTTAATGTCTTGCAACACATTATATGCCAAGATTGGTTCACTTTTATTTATTGCCTCTCTTAGGCCCCAAGCCTCCTTGCCACATAGGCCATAGAAAGGCCACAGCTCAGAATAACTGAACCTCCAGACCCCATAGAGGCATCCATACAGACAGCTGCTGTTAGACCATGACCCAGGTTTTCCTAGTCATATAGTTTATGTTTAAGTAGCTGCAAAGAAGTGAGACTGGAGCAGAAAATGGCCTCAGCCTCTGGTGAAAGCAGGAAGTCAATTTACTTTATACAGAGTAGCTCTTGTACTGAAGGAACCTATAGCCTTATGGAATCTTCCTATTAGTACTTGCATTAGAACTGTATAGTGTATGATTAGCACAAATATAGTTAGAATGTAATATTACATCAAGCCAAATTTAACACATGCAGAAAAAAAAAGTAATAAATAAGTACAGCAAAATAAGTATGTTAGATGTCTGTATTATAACCACATTAATGCTAGAACAGGTGTTTCAGCCACTGAAACATCTATCCAGACTGAAAAAATACTACTGAAAATACATGATACTGCAAGGTTTATAGATCTGGCTGGAATAAGTATTTTAAACAGTTGCAATTAAAGTTGATATAAACACTTCACATATAAAGGCTAATTTACATCATGAAAAGCTGACAGATGTAACACTGCCTGTGTAGCTGGATTTAAGAAATAAGTGCTTAATCCTTCGGGATTGTATACTGATTCTGAAAGTTCAAGTTTTTAAAACATGTTTATTGCCATCTTGTGCCAGTAGAGAACGTGACATCATGTGGTAGGTTTTTTTGCGGTCAATAGACTTACATTAGTTTATGTTAGCTAACAAAACTAATAACTCAGGAGAAAATAAGGACATCCATCCACCCAGTTGCTTCCGCTTATCCTTTCCAGGGTCGCGGGGGGTGCTGGAGCCTAAAATAAGAACAGTAAAATAAAATGAAATATAAAAAAACATCAGTTTTTCACTTTTGTCCTGCCCTTGGCTATATCAATGAGTTTTATGTTAAAAGTGAGGTAATGCTGTCCAGCTGTCACTCTCTGTCTCTAAAGCAGTAAGTGGTTCTTCATTGTTTGGTTAGCTGCACTCAAACTGGAAAATCCACCTGTTAGCCATAATGTTTGGATTTGTAAAGCACTTTATGAATGAGATTAGTATGGAGAGCGGGTTTGAGACAGGTGACAGGTGGTTTACCGAAATAAAAAACCTGGAGTCAGAAACTGATTTTTTCTTGTGTGGTCATATGTACTGTACTGTGCGGCACAATCAGCTGATGCAGTCAGTGCTAATTTATGACCACAAAATATCATGAATCAAAAAACAAATTTCAGGATAATAGTGGTATAGAAAATAACGAGTGTGTGACTTTTGTTTTTTGTCACAGGTTTCTTCTGACTGCGGTAGCAGCTCTGTCATCCTACTCTATTCATCTGCTGCTCAAATCCTCAGGCATTGTGGGTAAGCATTGTGTCATTTCTCAGTGTTTTGAAAAGAAATGGTACAATTACATGTTGTAAAGTTCTCACATCGAAAATCCCCTGGAGATTGCTATTGTGGTTGCCATTAGAAAAGGACAGCTTATAAAGTTAAAAAGATCAAAAACCGCTTAATGTCAAAGAGTCCTTGACTGAAAAAAAGGTTATGTGAAAAAAACTTTATCAACAAATAAAGTATTCATAATTTAAATGTATTTTTAAAAGTCAATTTTGTATAGAAGGATTTGATTTTCAGTCATCGCGACTTGTGTAATGCCCTGTCTCATTAAATAAAGACATTTTGTTTTGTTTTTTTATTCTGTAATTTGAGGTTTTGCTGAGTTAAAATTGTCTAGGCAAATTTTAAAACTAGAAAAAAAGTCATGTCAGCGTACTCTCTATTTATCTAAGTTGTGCAGTCATTTGTCAACCCCTCTGAAAGCGTCTCGTTGTGTTCCTTGGACAGAGATCATAGCAAATATAACTAAATTTGTGATTGTTTGTAATCTGCTTACAGGAATCCGAGCTTATGAACAGCTGGGGTACAGGGCCTTTGGCAATCTTGGAAAAATAGCTGCTGGCACAGCAATCACCCTGCAAAATATTGGAGGTGAGGAGACAGTGTAGGTTTGGAACATGTTCGCTCATGTGTTCTTCCACTGGCCTGAAGCTATAAACTGATTTCACTTCAATTCAATTCTGTTATATGCTTATTGCACCAAATCACTTCAAGGTGCCTTATACTGTACGGTAAAAACCCTATAACTATAGTCAAATAAGCCATTAGTATTACTTTGGCTTTTGGTCCTATTTATAAGTTTGGGATATGATAGAGTATTAACAATGAAGTAGCTGCTTATAAGTAGCTGTATTCCTTGTGATTTTGACATTAAAAAGATTTGCTCTTCTTACTGACCAGAGAGTTGAGACAAACTAGGTCATACCTTCTTCCTTAAGCATGAACTACTCAACCCAGCTTCTTAAGAAAAAAGCCACAGTTTACCCTGTTGATTTCAGAATTATTAAAATCACTAAAGAAAGCTACTTTTTTGCTGCTCCCTTGTCATAAGGGGTAGTGTGTGTAAATCACAACACCATTTTTGAAAAGAAAATAATCATAATCAGTCATCAGTATGAGTTATATATATATATATATATATATTTAATAAATTCTAACACAGATTTCAACCATTTCTAAGCAAAGAAGCAGCCACAGTTAATGTAGTCACTTGAGTTAGGCCTATAGCTCCTCAGGCTGGTTTAGATTGTACCTTTTAAAAAGAACATATTCAGAAATCAGTAAGTTTTTATGATCTCTGGCGTTCCACAATGCTCCATCATTGGTCCTTTGTTGTTAGAAAAAAAACCTTGTCTGCAGTTACTTGAAAATGGAGCTGCTTGATTACTAACAGACTCAAAAAGATAAAGCTGCTTTCCTTTCTTCACTAACGATTAGCTTTGGTACTGATTGTAAGATTACATTTGATGATTACATTTAAAGCATTTCATGGCCAACAACAACAAAAACATTTCATCAAGTGAAACTGAAGCAGTCAGTCCTGTGAGTGTCATCGGGCAACAGTGGCGTTTCCTAAGACCAGAGTCAAGACAGATGAAAATTATCTGTGAAAGTCACCTTAGATTATCACAGTCATTGATGTTTTTTTGTTTTGTTTTTTTCACTCTTTCTTTAAACTTGACTTTAAAAATGTTCTCAAATGCATTTTTCAGCTCTATCTTGTACTTAATTATTTATTGTAGGAGAGCTTGATTATATGTTTTAGTGTGATGTGATTTAATGTGATTTTAATGTGCCTCGCAAAACTTCTTAAGCTCTAAATTAGTCCATAATTGAGATAACCCCATACTGATTTCATAACTAGTTTGCTGCTACTACGTGGTAAGATCTGGTACGATCTGTATCCAGATAACTGAAAAGGGGAAAATATGTTAATGCAAGCTGTAAACGCATAAGCATGTCACTGTGATCAGTCATACCACTCACTACCACTAACTTCACCTGCTCCTTCTAACCAAAACAGTTGCAGATATTACTCATAGGTATAACAATTGCACTGTAAAGAAGCTACATAGCATAATTGTCATTGGAAAACTGACCTTATTTTTCAACAAATACACATTTTTGCTTGAAAGGTAACAGAGTCTATCGTCCCAGCTCAGCTAAGTTATAATCTTAAACCTGTTTCAAAGCAATAAAGTTTTGGTGCCAATGATAAATACTGAAAGTAGTAAAAGTTAGTAAAACATCCAATTTCCCAAAAGTACAAAGGACGTGACCACAGTGTCCACAGTAGTAGCGACGGCTGTGTCACCTATGTAAACATGATGTGGTAAGTGTACTTGTGTCATGGTTTTTCTGATGTCTGTTTGGTTAGCGTGTGTACTTGCACTGTGGTTTACTTCACCACATGTTACATTTCCCCTGTCTTGTCTTGTTACAGCTATGTCCAGCTACCTTTACATTGTTAAATCCGAGTTACCGCTGGTCATCCAAGCTTTCCTGAAGGTTGAGCCCAACAGCGAGTGAGTCTTGTCATTTCTGTCCTTTTCAGTACATGAGCACATGAGTCTTGCCTGTTGTTGACCCAGAGCTGAGACACTGTGTGCAGGGTCATGGGGCCTGGCCCAGTTTGCAGCATTTACTGAGTCAGTTGGTTTGGGGGTGTAATGAGAATGGGAGCCTGGAATTGGCTGAACAACAGGAAGGACATGATTGGGCATCTGATACTAAAGCACACAACATCAATCCTCACTACTGTCAGCTTGTAGAGGCAAGCACTGTCCACGTCAGAGTTATGCCAGAGACACGGTCTGCATAAGGCCACGGAGGACTGAAGTAGATTCCAGCTGTCTGTTTAAATCTAAAAAAACCTTGTGCTCAAAATGGATTGCAGCTATAATACTTATGTGCTGCAGCCTAGACGGTCTGAGGGCAGATATTCAATAACTCAAGATACTCAACAGAATACTTTATTCAGTTCAATTTAGTTTTATTTATATAATGCCAACTAGCAGGATTACACGTCAGGGCATAATGTGCAGACCTTCTGAGTTAAATGGGCTTGACACAAGATTTTCATCTAAGCATGGGGCTTGTTCCAATTGTTGCTCGTTTGTGTATTTTAGTGGAATTTTCCTCTTGCTTGGATAGACTCCAGCCGCCCCATGACCTTGTATTCAATAAGCAGAAGGGAATGAATGATGCATGGACTCATAATTACATAATTGTTCAAGTCGTAGGTGCTTCAAATATTTAAAGTCATAAAAAAAGACCTTCAGTTGTAAGGGGTCTTGCAACACATAGTGTGGCAATCCAGAATCCTGACCTCAACATTATTAAGTCTTAAGATTAAGATTAAAACCAACTGAGACAACCTAAACCAGGGGTAGGCAACCTTTCTGATGGTGAGTGCCATCTAAAATTTCCTCAGAAGTCAGTGTGCCATATGATTGCATTAGCAATAAATTTAATAAAGCTCTATATTAACAGCTACACAATATATAAAACCACTTTATAGAATGATATTAGTTTGCAGATGTTGGCAGGTATCAGCGAATAGTTATCAGTTGTTTTGAAACAAAAAAAGAGACTTTTTATCCATAACAAGAACTCCATAACAGCAAATGAACAGTACAACAGAAAATGCAAATGCTATTTATGGTCTCCTCACAACAATGATAACAAAAATAAACTAAGCCAATATGGCATGTCTGTTAATACAGAGACACACATGTTAGTGTGATCTCTGGCCTCCCACTCAGAGACAGAGGTCTCCGAGTGTCCAGCATTCAGACGGCTACCCGAGGACACTCATGTGAGAGAAAATCTGCTCACACAGATATGTAGAGCCAAGTACTGTCAATAAGACCTCTGCAATGTTCTGAAGACAGTTAAACTTGTCAGGTAGTGATGTCCAGCAGGTGAAAATGCAAGCTCCATGAACACGCACAGCTGTGGATTCCAGCTGCTTCGATGTTGCATTAACTGGCATTAACTCAGCCAGTTAATGCGAGACAAATCTAGCTGCTCATTAAAGATTTCTGGTTTGATCAGAAAATAAAACATTGGTCCATACAACTGAAAGTCCCAAAAACGCATTGTGAATTCTGTCTCGAGTCTACGGATGCATTCGTGTATTTCCCTGGTGCTGATGCTGAGTGGAAAGCTCCTGAAGCTTTTGAAGTGTCGGAATGTGGAAAGGTAACAACGTCCCTCTCACCGGTAGGCTAAGTTATTTTTAGCCAATTACAAGTTGAATCTGGTAGTTGGGGTTGTTAGCTAAGATACTATCATTAAGAAGTGGCACAACTAATGTATCTACGTGAGTTGATTTCCGATGTGCATCGTTGACGTGGCCATTTATTTTTTAATGCACCTTCTCAGATTAATTCACTGCGTGTCGTGCCCAGGGCTGGATTGGGACAAAAAAACAGGCATTTTGACTAGAGACCGGCCCACCAGGTATTAAAGCTATAAAGACTTTGAATGAAAGCAAACACTGTGGTGACAGTGATGTACAGTCTTGTTGGTATATGTATGATTTCTATACATTTTACATCAGATAAAAACTTTGGTTGTAAGCTTCAGATAATTATTTAATAGCAGCCCGACATTTTAAAAGAGAATAAGAAAGTATTTCTTTGTGTCCCCCTTTCCCTGTTAATGCCCAACCTGGCCCTCCTGCCAAAACTTTGCCAGATCCACCCCTGCACAGTTACCAGCTGTCAGCTACATAAAAAAAAGAATCCTGGTGTTATTTGTCTCTCAGAAACAGTTCATAACTTCCCTTCAACTCATTCATGTCACCTAAAAGTTAAACCTGTTTCTCCATCACCTGTTCAGCTCTGATGATTCAGTAAGGACATCTCCTGGTTTCATCTTCATGTTTCCCTCTCATCACATAACCAAACCATATCATGACCAGCAGGTTTACAGCTGTGGCTCCAGCAAACATCAGCTGATACTAGAAATTAATATTAAATAAATTCTAACAACAGCTGATCAAGCTTAAACGTGCTGCTGTTGTTTAACGCGACATCCGCTGGTTTCCTCTTTCTGGCGCAAAGTGGGAGATAAACAAACAAGAGAGAAAAGCTGATCAGCTGATCATTGATCAGTTTCATGATTAAAATAGCAACAGGAGAGGGAGGGGGAGAGAATGAGAGAAGAAGAGGCAACTCCAGCTTTGTGTCTTTTTCCATCCTAGCTGAAGTCCAGGACAAACTGCGTCCCTTCTCAGCTCAACACCAAACGCGTAATATTTTCTCTGAATACGGGATGATTCCGTCTTTTTACGGGAAGGTTGGCAACTCTACTAACTAACCTTATGAATAAAATAAAGTTCAACATCAGTAACATCATAGCACCCACCCAGCTGTATAGAAACTCTGTCATGCTAGCTAGTACGGAGTACGGGTTATTGTAACTGACTGTAAAACGTCAGCACAACGAAAATAAACTAAACTTGGTTTATATCTGACCCAGATAGACTGCAGGTCATAACTTCTTAGCTGAAGTTCAGTTCACCTGACACTCGGACCGGCGGCTGCCTCGGGTCTCTCCTCCTGCCTCCCCTCTCCCTCATCCACCTGCTGGCCTCCACCACTTGTTAATTTTACTGAATCTGTGGAAGCTCCTCCACAGCCACCTCCAAACAACTGAGTTATTTTTACACACCGGCCAGCATCTGGCCAATCCACCACCTTTCATTGTTTATACTGTTACAAAAAAAAAGATAATCGGGCCACCGAGCAAATGCCTAGTACGCCCGATGGCCAGTCCAGCTATGGCCGTGCCATCAGTTAACCCTTAGGGTTGCCGACCCCTGACCTAAACCCACATGACAACAGCAGTTCTCTCGTAGTTCTCAACCTACTTGCCACCTACGTTAAACGCTTATAGCCAAATGAAATAGATGTATTGAGCTCTGTAACTGCTCTACATGTCTTGCACACACACACACACACACACACACACACACACACACACACACACACACACACACACACACACACACACACACATAAATGACAGCAGCAGGTGGTGTAAAATGGGGTGCCAAATTCTGAGGCTGAGGATAGGTCAGCTCAGGGCCAGCCCTTTAGCAACGGAGGCACACTGTGTTCATGTCCACTCGATGAACCTTGTTGTCCAAATTCATGGCGTCACAGCAACTAAGAGGAATGAGGGGTGTGTAGTGGGTCTGCAGTTTTATTTATGACTAGTGGCTCTTGAATTAGAAAGCTATCGTGTGGTGGAGAGACAGCCAAGTGCCTTTCACTCTGCCTGAGTTTAAGTAGTTTGTGCCAGTGCTAAAGTAGATCTGAATTGGTTGGTGTTGTTTTATGTAGGGTATGGGAAAGTTTTTTTTGGCAAAATATAAAGGGTCCAGTGATGTCCATCATGTTCAAATGCAGAGAGGCTGAGACATTTGGAAACAGTAGCTACTTTGTTGATTTTTTTCTGTCTGCCATTCGGTTCTATAAAAAAAATCTGTTAATCCAACCTAGGGTTGTCACTCTATGAGAACAGTGAAAGTTAAATCAAAAACTAATTTTGAGGGAGAGAAAACCAAAACTGTTTGTATTGTCACTATTGTCACTGCTAATGCAACTTTGGAAGCTAAATGTTAAAATACTGCTAGTCAGACTAACACAGTCTACTTCCAAAGACTTCATTTGACTGAACTTGGATTTGAACTCTAGACTTGACTGGACAGAACTTGTCCCAAGTGCAAGTGCACCTGCATGTGAAAGCTGCTCTCATTTGACCTACCGCCTAAAAGGCCAAAGAAGACATGACCTATGATTTGTGCAACTTCCCCTGCTTTTAAGTGACTCGCCCAAATTCGCATGCACACATGCATACACAAATAAACACTGGTAGTGTCATAGATCACACTGTGTTCCAGCATGTAGGACTGTGGCAGACAGCCGATCCTACTCATTGTGTTTCTTGCAGGGTTAAGAATAACAGGCTTAGCAGTGAGAAACAGGCTTTAGGGGACAAAGACTTTCCTATGCACAGGATTTAAGAGACAGTTGACTTTAAACTGCATGTTTGTGTGGTAACATTTGGCTCTACAGCTCCTGATGTTTTAAGTTTAGACAGGTAAAATGACTATAAACATGCTGTTTCACCACATTCATTTATTTATATTCACTTAGCAAATGCCAGGTAGATAAAGCGCTAAAGTTCACAGAATAACTCGCTGTATGGATAAGTATAAAAAAGGCACTGTAAAGTGCTTAGATAGATTAGTCCCACTGGAAAAAAGTCATATAGATGCCACTGCATTCCATTTAGTATAACTGATGATTTGAGTAGTGATTAAAGACAAATAAATGTTTTTAAAACTTAAATATATTATGTCCATCCATTATTAAACAGCTGGATCACAGTGTCAAATCAATAAAAGCTATATCATAAAAGAAGTCAGACTCTCTGCAGCATCTCTAACTGCACCCTAACACCTGACAACTGAGTGTCAGCATTTATACAGTGGTTAACAAAGTTATTAGACCACCTGTCATAAAACAATAAAACACAAATATTTCAGTAATCTGTGAAAAACGTATTTAAAACTCAAATTTATAGCTGTTCTTTGGGCAAATAACAAAAGGAAATAATGTTTTTATACCCAAATTTGAGCAGGCGCAGTTGATTGGTAGGTAAATAACTGTATTTCGGTATCTTGATAAAATATAAGAATGTCTTTTACTACTTTTTCTGCTTTTTCTGAAAAATAGTAAATTTGAAAAATTGATGATAACAACAATAAAAAAAAAATATATAATTAAACTAAAAAAACAACAACCCATAAATAATGATTTTGATAATTAGTAGTACTGTTATTTAGTCAATTGGAGAATAAACCTTCGCAGGTTTGCACCCTCTGAACCTGCACAGGATGTGTCAACAACAACAACAGGTTATGACACAGGTTACAGTGTAGGTTATGGCGTGGGTTACAAGATAGTTTACAGTGCAGGGTTTCAGCAGGGTTTGCAGATATGACAGATACCACGGTGTAGATTTAACACAGAAGTACGAAGCCACTGTAACACTAACATTTGTCTACATGTCCTTAGAATAAACATATACATGTAATCTCAGCTATTGAGGTTGCACAACAGAGATATTTCTTTTTGAATGAATTTCACAAGATATTTGTTCAGAGTGAGGACATGTCTGGGGACCTGATGATGACAAACTAGCAGAGCTGTAGAAGGAGACTGTAAATGTGAACACTAATACTTGTCTGATGTCTTTTTTTCTGTTTGAAAGAGAGGATAAAGTGTCTGACAGGGACTTTAAGCTTATACTGGTAACATTTGCTGACTTCTTCAGTCCTAAGATGTTTAGGCACCATAGTGTTTTGCTTTACTGCAACTGTGACCTGTCATATAAATAATCTGAGTTATGCAACACACTATTCTAGTACTTCTGTCGAGAGTAACATAAGCAGACACATTTTTTCCACAATCTTGCGGCCAAGGGTGTTCCCAACAGGTTACTGTTGGCCTGACAAAATGGGGTACATCAACCATTTGGACCAACAGATTTTTAACAGCCTTGTGTCACAGATTTAGCCGCACTGACATTTTTAAAAGTACAAAAACAGTACTAACTCTATGCTACATGTACAGAATGAAGAAATATGTTACCACCACACACTCTTACCAAAATAAACTAGATTTTTCTCCAAACAGTCTGTGGTACTTGAACGGAAACTACCTGGTCATCATGGTCTCTGCCAGTATCATCCTGCCCCTTGCTTTAATGAAACAGCTTGGTGAGTATAATGTAAATATATCTTTGTTATGGGAGTACTGTTTTCCACTTCCATTTACCAAAGAAAGCTGTTAGTGTGTTGGAACATGCTATAATAATACCTTTTTACAGATATTAGAAAACTGTCACAGCTACAAATTGCTCCACAGTTTGAATAAAAGCCATATATTAAAGATAAATATGCACGTTCGAATGTACAGACACATAAACAGGCACACAATCGAACATATGGTCAGAAGCTCATTCAGACATATAAGCAAATAGTTGTAAACTATGGCCAAAAATAAAGGGATGAGGATTAAGGGAAAGCTAACCTATAAAAATGAGTTTTCAGCAGTCATTCAAAACCGTTATCAGAATCAGCTAACATGTGATCTAATGCATACATCAGACAGTGATGATGTTTTTTCTCCCTACAGTTGCCCTGCTGTTAAAAAAGAAAACAAAAACAAAAACATCCTCTTTTGAATCAGACCACTAAGGCAACTTTAACCTTATTGTTGACACAATATTAAAGCGAGTGGGCAATTGCATATAGGTGAATGTATAGATGTTTTCTGCACACACAGTGACCAGAGATAAAAGATAAGCTTGAAGCAGATAAAAAAGCCAAATTCACTGATCTGTGAGTCTAGCAGACTTCCAGGACCATGTACACATCACCAGCGGGCTTAACTTTCCAATATAAATAATAGATTATTTGAATTCCCTAAGAGTAAAAAAAAAAAAAGTAATAATATAATATGTAATATACTAATAATCAATAGCTAGTGAAATAATATAAAATATTTATGTTGTCTTCACTTAAAGTTACAGTTTGACTTACATTTTTTTTAATTTTTAACTTAATTAAATGTTTTTTTCTGTTTAAAATGGATCTCCATGGCAGCTGGGCAAGGTTCCTGCATAACAAGTATTATGTGTTTACAGTCTGTATTAACAGTTAATGTCCTTTTATTCAGCTACTCGTTGTAACATAGCTTCTTTAAAGTAGTTTTGCTCCTTTTCATTATACTCCAGAGTAGTGGGTTTGAGTTTTTGGGTTGTTTTCTTGCAGTACATTTATGTAACTCATGCATTTGCCAGTTTGTGTTCAAGAAATATTTTCTATGCTTAGAAGTTATCAGTTAAGATTATTTGAAATTAATCCAACTTATCTAATAATTTTTGAAGGCAAAGGTATGTACATTGCAGTCAAGCAATTAGTGCGTTCTTGTCCTACCCCTCACAGCGAAAACAGCGGGCTGTTCAGTTAAAAATAATTTCTCCTGACATAATCGCACTCTCAATTCCGGCATATTCTGCTCGTTAATACACAGTATAAACATGCCGTCTTTGCCCTCACAGTGCTGTGAGGTCACTCTGTACATTTTCAGGATTTTATTGCAGTAGCTTCATTTATGACAAGGAGCATCTAAAGCTAATGCAGTTAATAGTGGTTCCAAACAACATATGAATTCAGTCTGAGGAGCAGTTATGAATTTTCTCGTTCTCTTTATTTTCAGGTTACCTTGGCTACACCAGCGGGTTTTCTCTCAGCTGCATGGTGTTCTTTCTCACTGCAGTAAGTTGGTCCAACACACACAGTGGCACATCATCACAGTCACTGCGCACACAGGGCCTCTTTTGCTCTGGCATGCCTTCCTGGCGCACACTTTATGTTGCTAACTTTCCCATCCTTGTCTCTATTTTTGGTGGAATGTGTCAGTGTTTGATAAGGCTAATATAAGAGCTACTATACAGACATCAGAGGTTCAAAGTTAAATCTGTCTACTTAGAGGCTGAGTGGCCCTAATCTAGATTGAAATGGTTTTTCTAAGTAGTTGTTGATAACTGGAGGATGTTTTTTTAATGACTGACATATCACCTTATCCTTATTTTTCATGATATTCCTGTTTGTTCTTCCACATGTTGCCACATTTGCAGGTCATCTTCAAGAAGTTTCAGATTCCCTGCCCCTTTGAGGAGTTCTCAGTGAATGGTACCGCTTCCCACCTCAGCTTGAACGATTCAGTCCATATCCATGAGTACAACAACGGTGTGGTTCACGAGGATGATGACTCCCACTGCACCCCACGCATGTTCACCATCAACCCACAGGTAGGCGGCTGAGATGAAGAACCGTTTGTATCTGTGGATCTGTATCGCTTTTGAATATTGAAAGCCAGAGATGCTGAGATGCTGTAAATGTATTTGCTAGTTTCCACACATGTATGCGGGGAAGCTCAACTGCACTGCTAATAATAGACAGTCATGTGTTTATGTGTCTCTTAACAGACAGCATACACCATCCCGATTTTGGCTTTTGCTTTTGTTTGCCACCCTGAGGTCCTGCCCATCTACACTGAGCTACGCAAGTGAGTCGCCCATCTGTAACCTGCAATGTTTGATAACATCTCAGTGCAAAATGTGGCATTAATGTCCACTCTTTGATTTTAGCCCATCAAAGAAGAAGATGCAGAAGGTGTCCAACATTTCCATCTTAATCATGTACACCATGTACTTTCTGGCAGCTCTCTTTGGCTACCTGACTTTTTATGGTGAGGGCAATTTTCCCTGACATTTCTTTTATGATTGGTGTTTCAGTACCAGTGGACGAATACAAATGGCTGTGTTCATATCAAGTGGACAGAACAGTGATAGATATTTGTTATTATTAAGTAAGACAAAAGGAATCTAGTTTGGGCTGGAAAATATTTGACTAGGGAGATTAGTTTTTTTTAGAGGGGCAACTCAGATACGGTGTTAAAATGTTCATTATACTTTACAAATCTTGCAAAAAATAAAAATAAAAATCATTTTCCTCGCAAAGGAATAGCTTTTCCTTGTTGTTAATTGTTAGTTATTGTGTATTAGCCATTAAGTGCCATCATCCAGACGATCTAATGTGGTTTCTATAAAAGCGTAGTAACCTTTTTCATGGAAAAATTGAGTCTCTGTAGAAAGATTTTCTAATCAGGGGTTTTGTTTTGTTTTGTTTTGTTTAATGATTCCATCCTTTACAGAATTTGCCTCTACTGTGTTACATGGAACCCAAGCGCCCTCTTGTGGAGATTGTTTGTCATGGTATGCTGTCCACAGTTGCTGAGTAATGAGCTCATGCGCAGCTAAACTAGTTTCTGTTGATATTTCTGTAGGCAATGTGGAGCCTGAACTACTGCACACATACAGCCGGATTGATCCTTACGACACTTTGATCCTGTGTGTGCGAGTGGCTGTCCTTACTGCTGTAACACTGACAGTCCCCATTGTGCTATTCCCAGTAAGTGATGCATTTTATTTCAGTCTTCATTCAATAATTAAATTAATATTGTAACATTATAGTGTTTCTAATGTGATTTTTTTTTGCCCACAGGTGCGTAGAGCCATCCAGCAGATGATATTTCCCACCAAATCTTTCAGCTGGTTACGTCATATTGCCATCGCTCTCATTCTTCTCACCTTTATTAACATGTTGGTGATATTTGCTCCTAACATTCTGGGAATCTTCGGCATTATTGGTGCGTATAATACTGAATGTAAAGTTGGAATAATATCAAAACAGTAATGCTTTTCTTATGCTCTGGAGTCTGAGGCTCAAGAAGAGGGGGTATAATGCTTAAATCTCCAAGAGGCAGTAAGGGAACTGATAGGTTGGATTTATGGGTAACTTCAGTTGCCATTTGTATACACACACAAACAAATATTAAATTTTAAAAATGTGACCAGTGTCATGGACACACTGACAGCTTAAGTCAATATTTTTGTTCCACTTTGTTTTCAGACTGAGGTCATGTTTCATAGGTTACAGGTAAAAGTATAAAACATTAACTTTAGGGACTACCGGGTACTTCCTCAAAGCAAGGGTTTACGTACAGAGTTTACCTGTTTTTGAATCTATGCACAGAAGCAGAAAAAATAGAGGATATAATAAATAGAGCTGTTTTCAGATTTTGCTTTTTTTGTGCATGTAAAACAGAGGGGATTAGGAGAATGGGATTAGGATTAGGCACATGTATATGTTGTATAAATACCGTAATCAAAAAGTCTGAATAAAAGTATAAATTACAAATCAAGTTTACAGAAGGGCAGCAGTGACACGGTGGTTAGCACTGTGGCCTCACAGGAAGAAGGCCCTGAGTTTGACTCCACTGTCTGCCCGGGACCTTTCTGTGTGGAGTTTACATGTTCTGCCTGTGTTTGTGTGCGTTATCTCCGGGTACTCCGGCTTCCACTCACAGTCCAAAGATATGCACTTAGTGGGGTTAGATTAATTGGTGATTCTAAATTGGGTGTCTATCTCTCTGTGTTAGCCCTGTGTCAGATTAGTGACCTGTACCCCCTGGAGGAGAACGAATGGATCGAGAATTTAGAAAACAGAAAACAAACATCAACAAATAATAATGAGTCCCGTGTATTTTTTTCTTATCAAAGTTTTATTACAGCATTGCATGCTTTTTTATTTTTCAGGCGCCACATCAGCTCCTTGCCTTATTTTCATCTTCCCTGCTGTCTTCTACATCCGCATTGTTCCCAAGGAAGATGAACCCATGAACTCTCTTCCTAAGATAATGGTGAGGCAATGAAAATATTTGCCATGCATGTTACATCATTTTACAACTTCTTGATAGTTAAGTCCAAAATGTTTTCCCATCATTCTTAGGCTGCCTGCTTTGCCGCTTTGGGTTTCTCCTTCATGGTAATGAGTCTGAGCTTCATTATTATCGACTGGACAACAGGGGAAGGCCTCGCTGTTGGAGGACACTAAGTGCTGCTTCATTGTGTGTAGTCTTAGGGAAGGGGTACATACTGTAAAACGGTCAATGGTTAGAAAATACTGTCAAGTAAGCAGGAACACACTACAGGGCTGCTAAGAACAGCTTCCGGATTTCTAAATGTGTAAAACACCCAGTATAGTATGTGGGTAGAAAGGAATCACTCTTGGAAATCAATGTCACTTTCTGACTGTAATTTAACATGTATCTGTACAAAATCCATTCATTTCAATATTTTATTATTTAAGTTAACAGAGTGTAAAATTTTATTTGAATAATTACGAATGAACAGGGTTGTTGTTCTGTTTAGTTTTTTTGTTACCCTGTGTTAGTGCGATAACATCCAAGGATGCAGGGATGATAGTGAAATTGTCTTTCCCTGTTGTTTTCCCTTTACTCACACACACAAACAGCTGCAGCTGGTACTGTACAGAGAAAGACAGTATGATTGACAGTATGAAAGGAAACAAATTAAGATAAAGTATAAACAAGAGACAGTAAAAGAACATATTTTTTATGTAATATTAGTTATTTTCCATTAAATGCACAGAAGAAAACAGATTATTTCAACCTGCACCAGCAGCGATCTGAACTGTTCATTCTCATCATTATTATGTAATATTATATAGTGAGGTGTTTTAAAGCCTTAGAGCATGGCTGACATTTAATTATGTGTATGTATTGTTTGCTTCATATGCATAAATCAACAAATTTTATTCAAAAACCTGGGTGCCTTTTAGCATTTAACAAAAAGCACACAAAGATACGATGAAAGCAAGAGTTTATATTTATTTAGCTAACTACCAGAAACATGTTTTTAATTTCAAATGAAATATATTTAATTCTACTTTATACAATGAAACCAATACTCATGATACAGAGATAATTCACACAAATAATATTTCACTTGTTTGTTAAAATGTAAAGTGTTTGATAAAGAAATGCCTTTTTAATGCTTTTGTAGTGCATATAAGCCAACTGTGACCCTTAATATAAAGAGTTCAAGTTTACTTTAACACTTTGTAGAAGTTTATTTACCTTATTTTATTCCTTCTTCGAGGGTTTCAGAAATAATTTCTTTACTCTACCACATCACTACAATTTACAAGTTGGATGATGACTGGGTTTAAAAAAAATAAATCTAAACAAGTGCCACGCTTTTCATGGATAAAAAAGAACACCTACATGAACGTTTAAAGCCCAGTAATGAGCATGTTATGTCCAGTTTCCAGTCTTTTTGCTCAGCTAAGATAACAGCTAGGTAGCTCTACTTTTATATTTATCGTAAGACGTAAAACTGGTGATGATCTCGTTTAATTTTAAGCAGCATCAAAGAGAATGTTCATCTTCCCAAACTGTCCCAACTATTCGCTCACTTTTAATCACCCGTGGTTAAAATTTAAAGGATGTATTTGCCCAGATTCCAAATACATAAATAAAGGCCATGTAAATAGTTTGGTTGTACCCAGGGTTTAATAGGAATTTTATAAACAAATGTATAGACACGATGTATATATCTAAAAAAAATAAGCAAATAAAACCAAAACGTCATCCATTGCTAGATGCCACTAGGTAAAAATGAAGAAAATGTAGTTTCTAGTTGTAATTCAGTTTGGACCTCTGACCTCTGACCTCTGAGTTGTTGGGTTTTTTTGTTGTTGTTGTTGTTGTTGTTTTTTGGCTCTGCCTGCTGGAAATCTGTAAAATTAAAATGAGTTAATTTGATAGATCGATGTGATGATGATGCTTTTGTTATTCTGTCGCATTATCATTGCTTCACTAGTTGATAGTAATTTGCTTGGTCTTGTTGGCCATAAACATGAAGTTAATCTTTTTGCATGATGTCAAGTCTGTTCTGTATTTGGTGTAGTGAGCAGAGATTTGCCTTCCAGCACTGTCACATAGAGATGTTAAGTAATAACTGTGCATTTGGCATCTTATAGTGAAGCGTACTGAAGTCCCAATCTGTTTTGTGTTACGTGTTAAAAAGTCGTTCTTAAAAAAAAAACCCTCAGACTATTACGATTACTGTCATTACGCTCAGAGAGAGAAGACTTTTTTTTTAGTTTAATTCATGTGTGTTGAGGAATACCTCCCAAGTTTTGGCTTAAAGTGATCTCAACACCCATAACGGGTATGACTAACTACATAGGAGTATGCTTTCACAGACTACAGGGGCTTTAGATTATGTAATATATATGAATATAAACCATAAATTCACAGCTTTTAAACCAATGGAAAATTTTCTCATGGTCAAAAGTGAGAAAAGCTTATGACAAATACTTCTACCCAAAGATGGTTTTATATTGTATAACAACTCCCAGACTTTAGAAAAGTCAAGGACAAATTCTCAGTTTATTTATATATAACTCTATTTTCTGTTTTTTGTAGCAGTTTTGACTCCAGGTTAAGTTGGGGTTTTTTTTTCAGACTAATCATGAGCAGAAGAAATATCCAGTATCCTTTTCAGTATTGCTTTGTCACATTTACTTGCTGTGCTCCTTGTAGTGTTATTGGAGGTTTAGTCTCATCAAGTTCAGTAACCAAAGTTACTAAAGGGATCTTGGGGTTACTTTAAGGGATCTTTCCAAAATAACAACTGACTACCTACTGCTTTAAAATGCTATAGCTTTTAAACATGTGCCACCACATGATATCAAATGTTAATCCATCATGTATGTAAGAAAATCTATGTGATATGTTACTAGAGCTGTAGTTCAAGAAGTTAATTATAACGTCGCTACAAGTAGATAACAATGCCTCTGGACTTTGGTGACTTTATATAAATAATGTATATAAATGTATGCCTTTTATATTTGTGTTGCATATTTACAGTAGCTTGTAAAGTGTAAATAGCTGAACAATTTTAGTTTGCCAATAAAATAATTGTAGATGTTTTTAGATTGTCTTTCTTGGCCTCATTTACCCCTTGACTCAAACAAATTGTTATTTGGACAGTGTGTGTTTCTGTTTTTTTTTTTTTTCTTTTACTATGTACTGCTCTTAATTTGTAGGCAATTTTAGTATTTGATAGATATTAATACAATAATATGTGCAAGCCTTGAGTCATTCTTCATTTCTTTTTTATATTGCTAGGAAAATGCATTCTCTGTCAAGATGATCCCGCACTACTTAAGTAATGTTAAAATCTGGGCTTTTGGTGATTGGTGGCATCTATGAATGTTAGTGCCTCATCGTGTGTTTTGCTATCTTGGTCTGTTTGTATTGCACTGGCAATATGCTTCAGATCGCTGTCATGCTGAAAAATAAATGAGATCCTTTCCAGATGGTGGATCGAAATCTGTTGGACTTTTTTGAATGCATAATTCCATCCCCAACATTACTAGCTGGCATGCAGCTCCGACCATGACAGAATCTCCACTGTGTTTCCCGGATGACTGTGAACACTCACTGTTGGACCTCTCTCTTGAACTCATCTGCACATACTGACAACAATTTGAACCAACATTTTCAAATTTTCAATTTTCACTCTGTAAGACCTGTTGCCGCTGATTTTTAGTCCAGTTGTTCAGTAATTTGTCATGCATCAGCCTTTTCTCCTTGTTGTCTTTGTTTAAGAATGGATTCTTGACGGCCAACCTTCTACTGAGACCATTGCTGACCAGTCCCAAAAGGTTGATTCTGTTCATCTGGATGTAGTGTTTTTAAGTGGGAGAAACATTTTGTCACTCATCCAAGTGACGTGTCTGCAGAAGTAATTTGGATGAGTGATGAAACGTTTATCCTACTGGAAATGCTGCGTCCAGATGAACAGAATCAGCCTTTTTGGTTTTCCTTACCTGGATGATTGAGCATGCATCAAAATATTTCTGATGAGGTTTCAGTGAACACTAACACTAACTCTGAACTCTCTGCCCCCCTCTCACGGACAATAACCATATCCAACTTCTTAATAGCACTGAACTTACTTGTCATGTTCTCATGTTGTTGCTAAGGATTGTCTTATTGCACTGGAGTCACACTGGGTTAAATATTTACACTTGGGTTTTAAGGGGTATTTATTATTTTCTTCATTATTTTATTTATGGGTTGTATGGAAGCACCAAATGCAATTTCATTGTTCTCTGACAATGACAATAAATAAATAAATACAAAATACAAATACAAATAACTAGATCAACTACAGGGCCAGATGCATCTCTCAGGTCCTGGGTCAGGTCTTTGCTAGATTTTTTCCCCCTATTTCTTAAGGACATTACATTTAAATACTGTTCATTTGCTGTACATAGTTGGAAGCAAAACATAAATACATAAAAAAAACTTTTGCATTTGACTGTAGATCTTACCAATATTGGAATCCCGGAACCTCTGTTTTTTAAAGGTGTTCAGGCTGTTTTAAAGACAAGCTTATCATTTTAACTGCTCAGTTTTCCTATGAAACTGTTTGTCATCATGAGCCGCCGCTGCTGACCTCATTATGTCAACATACTGCTGGTTTTTACTGTAACACATTAGGAATTTTATTTACACCGGCACAGGTCTGTGTATTTATGAATGCTCAAGCTAACGTTACATTTAAGTACTATAGAATTGAACTCAACAGAATATCATCTATATTGACTCAGACTAAAGACATTACAGCAGTAGCAAGGGCCCTGCAGTTAAATGGTACATTAGAACCCAGCAATAAAATGTTTGATTTATTTTTTTTTACAAGAGAACAAAAGCCAAGACTGGTAAAATGGCTGTAATAAGCCTACTGTGAGCTGGTATAGTTCAAGATTATTTATTATTTTTAAATGCCCCATTCCTTTATTGTGCTGTGAAAATATTGTTAAAATAAAGAACGTGTCTCTCATGTCAAATAAATATAAGTAGCCATGTTTTTTCACTCTTAGAAGATTAGAATAATTCAAATTATAGCAGTGGAAGTGATTATTTTATCTTAAACTGTATTTGACTTTATATTGGAACTGTCTGTTTTAACATTGTGATTACCTGACAAGGTAATCAGCAACACAGAGGCACCACAAGGGACTGTCCTCTCCCTCTTCCTTTTCACCGTCTACACCACAGACCTAGGCCACTGCACAGAGACCTGCCATCTTCAGAAGTTTTCTGACGATTGCGGTGGTTGGATGCATCAGCAGGGATGATGAGACAGAGTACAGGGCTGTGGTCGACTCCTTTGTCACATGACGTGAGCAGAATAATCTGCAGCTCACCGTGGCAAAGACCAAGGAATTGATTGTGGACTTCAGGAAGACCAGGAAACACTTGGCCCCTGTTTAATCCAGGGGGTCAATGTTGACATTGTGGAGGACTATAAATACCTCGGAGTATACACAGACAATAAACTGGACTGGGCTAAAAACACCACAGCACTTTACAGGAAGGGCCAGAGTCATCTCTATTTTTTGAGGCGGATGAGGTCCTTCAACATCAGTCGGACAATGCTCAGGATTTTCTACGAGTCTGTGGTGGCCAGTGCAATCCTCTACGCTGTTGCATGCTGGGGGAGCAGATTGAGGGTTGCTGATGCCTACAGACTCAATAAACTGATCTGCAAGGCCAGCAATGTTGTGGGGATGGAGCTGGACTCTCTTAAGGTGGTGTCGGAGAGGCGAATGTTGAACAAGATAAAGACAATGTTGGATAATTCCTCCCACCCACTCCATGGCATGCTGGCTAGCCACAGGAGCACGTTCAGACTATGGCCATCTTTCTGTACAACTCCTCCACCTAACACATTGTATACACTGTGATAGCTACACCCTTTTTGCACATGCTCTTCTTTCTTATTCAGATATTTATTAGTAAGTGACTTATATGTATGTATATATATATATTGTATATATTGTACTGGAGCACTGTAACCCACACACCCACACCCCTGGGGATCAATAATGTTTTCTGATTATGATTCAGATTTTTAATGTAATTGGTTATTTCAGTGGTAATATAATTTGATTCTATATTTTGATATAATTTGATTCTTTATGTTTTGTTTTGGAAAACAGCTTGTGTCCAACCTCAGGCAGTGCACCATACACATAATCTGTAATTTCTATATAAAGTTTATTCGCTGCAATGCCTTTAAGTCTTTAACGAGTAGATAAACTCTATAACTGTGTACGTCCATTGGATGGCGCTGCACGTCAGCTATTCTAGCGGTCTCATTTGGTGCCAAGGTATTTCATAAACATGTGACGACAAGACTCATTAGCCATTTTAACAGCACTCCGTGCATCCTTGACCAGAGAGGTGCCCCTGCGTATCGCAGTTGGTCAGTGAGAAGAGGGCGGACTGCTGGCCTTCATTTCATTTGTCATGCTAGAGTCTGCATCCGCGGGAAATGCAGAGGAATGAGGCTGGCACAGCGCCCACTGCGGTCTGCACATCACACTCCTAAAATCACGCCTCGCTGGTTTGCACATTAATTGGTTTCGCTCACACGAGCTACAGCGGAGAGCTCACCTGATTTAACAGGGCTATCGCGACAAGTTGCTCGAGTGACGTCGCTGCGACTGGTTGACAACTTACAGTTGTCACACGATGATCAGGTTTTTCGCGCGAGCCTAAATACGCACAGAAAGAGACTGCAGCACTGTCGCCACCACCGAGGGACGCGCTGCTTACCAGGCCAGGACTAAGTGAGCCAGTCTACCGTGGAGCAGAGAGCACGGGCATTTCAGTCTGTGGATGGATGCAAGACATCGGGATTTGATAGATTCGACATGGACCACATACAAATCTGAGGTTTAGTGTAACAAACACAAACCCAACAACAACAAAACAAAACAGCAAATGTTCTGAATTCATTTGCCTCCCTTTTGAGCTTCTTGTAGACCAGAAGAGCGGGACCACAGACTTCTTGCAGGTGGATAAGCTGACTTTGTTTGCAAGTGAAAGAGGCTGTTTTTTTTTATAGAAGGCAGTACTGGAAGCAAAAGCTGTTCCATTGTTATTCCTGGCATCGGCCGACGCACTAAAACCATCAGCTCTCTGAGATTCTTATTGTTTTTTTCTTTTTTTTTTTGCGCAAGCGGTCGGTGCGCCCCTGCGTTTGGATCCAATGGGTTGTACGGTGAGCGCCGAGGATAAAGCTGCTGCGGAGAGGTCAAAGATGATTGACAAAAACCTCCGAGAGGACGGGGAGAAGGCAGCCAGAGAAGTGAAATTGCTTTTATTAGGTAGGTAGGTTACATCTGGAGTTGACTCCTCAGGAAACTGAAAGGAGTGTTTCTTACTCCAGAAATGATCGTGTCACGTTGCCTGTACATAATACTCCGAAAACTCATAAAACCATAAATATTACAAACTACCACAAAGGCGACCAAGTTAAACATCACTATATCTAAGGCAGGACACTATACACATAATCTTAGCTACAGCATAGAAAAGGGGCCATTTCAGTGCTCATCTGTCTACAGTCATGTTGTGTATTATTAATTAGCCTACACAAGTGCCCACACTATATACTTGGAGATAAGTCAGATATCCTCATGTCAACATGCTGCACAGCTTCTTAGAGGATTGAGCTGGCATTTTTCCCAGAAAGCTTAATTCAATATATTAAACCTGTGGGCATTCACAGGATTACACTTCAGCTCTACTCTTATACTCACATTAATCTCTCTCAAAGGGATACAGGGAAGAAAATGCCAATTTAATAGGTGGCAACAGCAAAGCAACAGTTTATATCGAACAAATTCTGCATCTTGAAGGCACCATCTCCTTTCCTCCTTCTGCATTTCCATCCTGTGTGCACACAAAGTCGCATACATATGCAAACAGGAAATACATCCTCCCACTCATTACCGCATTCTCACTTCCCTTCTTAACAGTTTCAGCTGTTTAAGTTTGACTCGATCGTGCTTCTGATTGGTCTGTCAGCTCCTTCGAAAGGGATTGCGTTTAATGTCAAGACAAGAGTTTGTGTGAATGCCAGTAGAAGTGGGCATTTTCTGAAAGCTGTTTTGCCTGGCATGATTGCAAGCTTACCAGCAATCTCCCTCCTTACTCCAGCTCTGTTTTCAGAAGATGTGGAAAGATTTGCAAATCATATGGGCGATGTAAAAACATGATAATCAAAAAGACTCCATGATAAGCAAAAATATACCTGCGGGCCACTCTCTCAGTTAATTCGGTTAATTGGCAATTAGTAATTTAACTTGGTTGTTAATATTGTTATTGCTAATATTTATTACCTCTATGGATAGTTTGGATGTTTAAATGGCCTGTATTTGTATAGCGCTTTACTTAGTCCCTAAGGACCCCAAAGTGCTTTACACTACATTCAGTCATCCACCCATTCACACACTGGTGATGGCAAACTACA